AACTCACAAAGAAGCACAATGAACCCAAGGCAGAATAAAAACAGTAACACATCACAAGTGATCCACTAAAAAATGATAAAAAAAAAAAAAAAAAAACCTTTAAAAGCATCCAGAGTAAAAAGGCGCCATCACATACAGAGGAAAAAAGATAAGAATGGCTACAGAATTCCCAGGAACAAGGTAAACCAGAAGACACTGGAATGGAATAACATTTTAAAGTGCAGAAAGAAAAATGACTATAAACCTAAAATTCTATATCCAGCAAAAATACTATTAAAAAAATTAAGAACACTTTGCAATATCAAATCAGTCCAGGGAAACCTCAACGTCCCTTCCCTCGTCAGTTCAGACCCCAAATGCTCCATGCAGCCCTTTTTCTCTCATCCCCATTCACCCGGGGACAGGTCAGCAGGTATCAGTCCCTTCTCTATTTCTGGTCCCTTTTCTATTTCTTACATTCACTAATCCAATGGAACAACTCAAAAGCTGCAGGGGAGGGCTATATTTAATCTAGAAGGAAAAAGGATACAAAGAAGGACGAGGTTCAGGAGGGGTCTTCAGCACAGAGCTTCCACAGCCCCAGGGGTTTACCCTTCCGAAAGCAGAATGTTTGAACTCTCTCCAAGCTGGAAGCCCCAGTGAGCCTCTGTTTTCCAAGGCCTTTATTGGCCACACCACGTGGCCTCCTGAGGCTTACACAACATCGGGCCCCCAAGTGATCCTTCTCAGTTTGTAGGCCTCCACTCTTTGGCCTCAGGTGTGGTCCTGCTCTAGGGAACCAAGACCAAAAAAGGCCAAAGTGTTTACTGCAAAGGAGTCCCACACCTCACAAACACACACCCCTAACTTCCTGAAAACAAACATGAAGGATCTGATCTGCTTTCCTTTCCTCTGGGAATTCTTTCATCCCAGAGCCAACCAGAGACACAGCAGACCCACCTACTCTCTTCCTTTTGTCCTAAAACTACATAAGCACGTAACAGAGGTAACAAACCGTCAAGCGTCTTGAAATTCTCTTCCTTTATGTTTACAATGCTGCTCTTTCCTACTTCTCCTTCTAATTTTCTAACTACTTCTTTTTAATGGCCTTTACTTCCTGTCGGGCTCTTCCATGTCAGCACTCTTCTTTCTTTTCAATTTCCTTAGGCATTTCATCCAGTCTAATGGCTTCAACTAGCAATGATTTCCAAACCACATCTCTTACCTTTCTCTAGAACCCAACATCTATATTTCCATTATGTCCTGGACATCTCCAAGTGTCTCAGGCATTTTCATATAACTAGTAATATTTTTTTAAGTTCCCACATATTACTCCATTAAATTAAATATTCTCAAATAGTTACTTTGGTTGGTTTTACTACATACTTACTGATGAATTATCAGCTGACTCATTTTTTTCATATTTCTGTTTCTTGCTCTTTTTCTTCTTCTCTTTCTTTACCTTTTTTGAATGCTTGTCTTTTTTCTTCTTTTTCTTCACAGAATGTTCCTGTAAGTAATTTTTGAACAGGTAAGAAAGGAATTTAGTTTCTATCTTATTTTATTAAGTAAACATTCTGAGGGGAAAAAAAAATTCATCTTCCAAAAAACTTCAAATGTTTCATGAAATGAGACAGGAATATGAGTAACTAAATAAAATCTTCCAAAGAAACCTGCGGTGGGATTGATCACTTTTGTGTGGCCTCTCTAGCCATGGTCTTGTAATTCCCACTCAGGTGATTGGGCGGAACCATGTGATAGGGTAATTGTGGCCCACCAAGAGGACGGATCAGTTTTGCCTTAAAAGACAGTCAATTCCAAAGCAGAAAAGAGGATCCTACCACCATCAAGGAAGAACACAGGAGAGGACAGCACGTCCTTTGGACCTGGGATCCCTGCACTGAGAAGCTCCTGGAAGCAGGAGACCAAGAGAGAGAGCAAGCTGTAACCCTGAAGATGGTAAGAAGTGGTGGCAGCAGAGACCCAGCGGCAGGAGATGGAGTGGTGGGCTTCCCATCACAGAGAGAAAGCTGGGTGCCTTTGGGGAGAGGCCTAGGGCCAGGGAGAGGCATGCCTGCGAGCACGGTTGGGAAGAGGTTGTCCTGATGGAAGAACTGTATCCTGAGTGTTCCAGAGCCTGAATTGTAACTGTTACTTCCCTAATAAACCTCGTAATCATGAGTACAATCTGTGAGTTCTGTGTGGCCACTGCAATGAATTATCGAACCTAGAAGAGAAGCAGACAGTGCTGTGCAAGGGACGGCTGGTGTCAGAATTAGTAAAGATGGAGGAAAGAGGAGGCTTGTCTGGCCTCCACCTCATGGAAGTCAGGCTTGCGCTGTTGATCTTGGTTCTGCTTCCCCCTTGAGGGGTTGGAGAAGGTCAGACATTGCCCCCATGCCATTTTTACAAAACCTTAATGTGCATGTACGATACATATATAATATTAATAAACCATATGGCTGAGGTTTCTTACCATAAGTGTATGAGAGAAATTTCAGTTTAAATTTATTTGCAGATTCATCTGACAGATAGAAAAAAATACATAAACAGGTTTTTTAAAAAATATACAAATGTGTGTGTGTGTGTGTGTGTGTGTGTGTGTGTGTGTGTGTATTCGTCTATGCCCTCAACAGGATTTATGGAAGAGTATTAGGCAGTATAAAATATAACAAAATAGCATAAATTAAAATTGTGGGGAAAAAAAGAGTTAAAAAGACATAAAGAACAAAACATAGTTTAAAACGTATAATTTTTTAGATCTAATTTTCTAAACTTGCTACAAGTGAGCCAGAAATTTGAATCTAAGCCTTTTACCAGCTAACACAAGTAGCAACATCTGTCCACGGTCATAACATCTGAAATATTAAAATATATTAATTCCACCTGAGAGATAAAACTACTCAGTAATGCCAAATATGTGATAGTCACTCTGTAACTTACAAAACTATTCTATGAATTTGCTCTTCCAATATTAACTTGAGTAAGTACAAAAAAGGACAAATACACTTGTAGCAGGAAAAGATTTTAGTATTCACCTGTGAGAACTGTTCAATTCGCTCATTCACATCAGGTAGCATCCATGTATCCTCACCCCGAAGTCGCTTAAGTTCTTTACACCTTTCCTCCTTTTCAAAATTGTCTTTAGCCTAAACATGGAAGAAGAAAATTAACAGCTCATCCAAATGCTTTTCACAAAAAAAGGAAAACAAAAACTTTTCCCACTTTTGTAACAGGTACTGTCTCATGAATGAATTTTCTATTTCTTGCCATGAGTTTACTTCTGCCAAGTATAGAAAAGATTTAAAAAATAAATAACTTTCCTTTCACATTACCAATCTCTACTGATCTGTGCCACCAATCAGGGATGGAATATCCTGGGACCTATTCCAGACCCTCTCCTCTCCCTAAACTCCCACCCTCAAACATAACTTAAAATCTTTTTATCTTCACCATTTCCACTGCAACTGCCTTAAACTTCGTAAGAGGAGACTGATCTCCATGCCTTCAATCTCCAACACTCATGCTCCTCTCCCCTCCCAGCCTCTCAAAAATTGCTTCAGGAAGAATCATCTTTCTAAAACCCAAGTAGTCATATTGCTAATTTTAATCATCTTTCAACAATTATCAACTAAAACAAGTTTTTCGTAGGAGGTTCTTCCTGCCCTCTCTCTCGTTACCATTACCCGTTGCCATCGAGTTGATTCCGACTCATAGCAACCCTACAGGACAGAGCAGAACTGCCCCATAGGGTTTCCAAGGAGTGCCTGGTGGATTTGAACTGCTGACCTGTGGTTAGCAGCCGTAGCTCTTAACCACTACAAAGCTGCAGCTGGTGCTTCTCAAACTCTATGCATATCTCTACTATAAAATTTATCACAGCTATATTCTAAATACCTCTTTGCTTGCCTATATACTCTTTGAAGTAAGGTATAATACTATATCTCTCATCACAATTTCCCCAAGAGGCCTTCACACAGAAGTGGTTCAAGGAATGTTTGCTGAAATAAAAATTAAATGATACAAAATACCTAGCTGGGTATTTATTTCTCACAGCATTATTTACAGTAGTGAAAAAATAAAAAACAATCCATTGGTTAACTATAGAATAAAGATAAACATAAGATGCCATATCCGTGAGACGAAATAGGATGAAGTCATAAAAAATTGGCTTTCAAAAGGTATTTAATGCATGGGAAACTGTTCACAACAGAAATGACAAAAGCAGAATGGAACCACATTTGAGTACGATCCCAATTTGTTGACAGCGTGTGAGGGTTTGGATTTGTGTGTGGAAATATTTAAAAAAAAAAAAAAATGAAAGTAAAATGTTAATATTATCTCTGAATGATTGGCTTAAAATTTTTGTCTTCTTTAAACCTCTATACATTTGGCAATTTTCTATAACAAAAAGAAAAATAAATATTTCATAAGTGTTAATTTCAAAGTATACCTGCATTAATACACGCACACGCGTGCTCACTGACACGCTCCTAGCTGTTGCCTCTCTGGGCCTCAGCTACCTCATCTGTGAAATGGCAAGGATGGACCAAATGATCTCTACTGGTGACCACATAACCCATTTTGCCCAGCCAACCCGTGTTTATGACTTTTTTCCCTGCATAATTATTAACAGCATCCCTTTTTCACTCCCAAAAGTGTCCAAGTTTAGATGACAAATTATACAGCTGCAGTACAATATTCTTTCAACTACAGAACTAGAAATAAGGAGGGGAGACCCAAAAGTGGGATCCTACAGTATCAAAAGTCAGAAGAATGAACTATGAAGACATATTCAATTACAGAAAGTATCTCCCCAAAAGCCTCGTATTTTCATTCTTGCATTAATGGGTACAAACACTTCCCAAATAATTACAGGAATGATAGAAATCTTTATTCAGTTTTACCAACAAAAATCTTAAAACATAAAGGAAGCAACCAAAATCACTGATTTTATCCTTAGAGAAGCTTTCACCACCATAAAATGTACACATTTCACGCAAGTGAGATGAGTAAGGAAACAGCTCTGCCACGGTACCTAGACAACTATGCATGTATCCACATAAGTCATGTAGACAAGGCTAAACTAACCTTGGCTGGTCTAAATCTTGGCCAAACAACCCTCCTAGAACAAAAGACTATGGGAGGCTTGTGAGGAACTGCTACTAAGCCATTTTCCACTTGCCTCCATATCTTCTTGGGCAGGTTATGAAATAATTTCTCATCATCTCCTAGGTTCTGATGAGCTATGAGGCTTTCTGTCTCACCCTCGTAAGGGTACACCTGCAGGCTATAAAACTACTTAGCTGCAGGACTGGCTCCTCAGCATCAGGGGTCCCACCATCCGTGTGCAGCCATCTGGCCCCTTTTGTTTCAATGTCATCCTAGGGGGCAAGGGGCACAGAGTTGGCACTTGAGCTACTCCTGTTTTTGCTGTCTATGTGAGTAATAAACTGTCTGAATCTAACACGGATTCATTATTTCTTTACTGGCCAAATCTGTCAGCTTTGCCTTGACAAGATTTTAAAACATGTGACAGCCACAAAGATTAGCAGTCTGAAGAAATACTATATACTTTCATCTTATCCATAAAACGTTTCAAGATTCTCCGTCTATAGAGCTTCTAAAGCCCATAGACTTTATCGGTCATATGACCCTTATTAAAAAATGTTAACATGTGATTTGGAAGCCATTAAAAAAAAAATTCATCTTTAACACCAATTTTAAAAAGGAATATCAAAACTTCTCAAGTAAAAAGCCAAAAAAAGAAAAATATATACATAAAAGCTACAGAAGGAACATATGGAACTCAGTCACAAACCATTCGAAGAATAGATGGAAATATGAAATGTGAAACCAAAGTGGGAATCATTTTTTTTTTTTTCTGGAAGAGTTATCAGAGAAAAATAAGCAAATAATCAAAATACCCAGGGAAAGAGCTCTAGCCTAAAATCTGGCCCAAAGAGTAACATTAGTGTTATCTTAAAACAATATTGCATACTCAGCCAGTAAGAGAAATGAAGTCTTGATACATGCTACAATATGGATGGAGCTTGAAGACATAATGCTGAGTAAAATTTAAGTCAATCACTAAAGGATAAATACTGTATAACCTCACTTATATAAAAAGACAAGAACAGGCAAATGTACAGAGACCAAAGCTTATTAGTGGTTACCAGGGGCAGGAAGGAGTGGAAATGGGAGGTTACTGCTTATGGAGTACTGACTTTCAGATAACGGTGATGGAAAAATTGCACTGATTGAGGGTAGAGTTGCAAAACCGATTAACGTAATTGCTGTCAATAAGTTGTACACCTATAAAAAGTTGAATTGAAAAAGTCGTGTGATAGACATATTTACAACAATGACAAGAAAAGAGTATCTGCTGAGGCTGCTTATATACAACCACACACCTCATGGGATTTGGTTCCTTGGTTTGGAGGTTGAGGATCATGGTTTCATGGGACATCTCAGTTAATTGGCCTAATAACATATTTAGTGTTTCTGTTCTCTGCCTAGTTTGTCGCGTACTGCCTGGGGTCTCAAAAGCTTGCAAGTGGCCATCCAAGGCACAACAATTGGTCTATATTCGCCCAGAGCAGGAAAGAAAGGAGAATGAAGAACTGGAGGAGGATATGGAATGTGTGGCTAATTGCCTCCATGAACAACTGCCTCCTTTGCCGTGAGACCAGAAGAACTGGGTGGTACCCAGCTACTATCATTACAGAGCATTTGATCAAAGATTCTATAGCAGACTCCTGATCAAAAGGCAGAAAATGCAGAACAGAATTTAATATTCTCATGGACTCCAGGCCTTCTGGAGCCAGGAAGGCTGGATGAACCACTGTAACTATTGCTCTGAGATAATCTTTAAACCTTAAACCAAAAATATCCCCTGAAGTCTTCTTAAAACCAAACAATAGTTTAGCTTAACTAGTAAAGAATGTCTGCCTCGAGAACTGTGCTGTTTTAAGATCCATATGACAATAGCAACTCAAAAGACACAGGAAATTTAGAGGTCAGTGAGTTTATGTTAATGGGGAAGGAACAACTCAGAAAAGGAGGGTGAGAGTGGCTGCAAAACTCATAGAATGTAATCAATGTCACTGAATTGTACAGGTAGAAACTGTTGAATTGGTGGACATTCTGCTGTGTATATTCTCAACAACAAAATAAAATAAAATAAATTATATTAAAAAAATAATAATAACGTAAAAGTTTGATAACATACCATGATGTCAAAAGTGTGGGATAATATTTCTTATACACCGATGATGACCAAGCAAACTGATCCTTAGGTGGTGCAAACAGTGAACATAGTTGGCTGCTAACCCAAAGACTGGAGGTTTGAGTCTCCTCAGAGATGCCTCCGAAGAAAGACCTGGAGATCCACTTTCCAAAAATCAGCCATTAAAAACCCTGTGGAGAACAGTTCTACTCTGACATACAAGGGGTCACCATGTGTCAGAAATGACTCCACAGCAACTGGTTTTGGTTCTTTGGAGGCAACCTGGTTATAGCTGTCAAAATTACAAAAGAACATACTTTCTGACCCAGCAAATCCACTTCTAGGAATTTACCGAGTATGTATGTATGTATGTATATATATATATACATACACACACACACACACACACACATATATGTAAATAATAATACGTATGAATGACCATATATGAAGTTATTCATTGTATCAATGATAACACTGAAGGATTATCCAACAAAAATATTCACATGTGTGCAAATGATATTATCTGAGTTACTATATATGAAATTATTCATTAAAGTTTCTTTTGTAATTGAAAACGACTTAAATGTAATTCAGTAGAGACTGGTTAAATAAATTATGGTACATCCATAATATAGACTATTATGCAGCTGCTGAAAAAAAAGAAAAAAGCTCTGTATCTCTATATGAACTGATGAGGAATAGCCACCAAATATACTATTATAAAAAAATACCAAAGTTCAAAATAGTGTGCAAAGTATGCTTCGATTTGTACAAAAAGTGGGAAGAGGAGCAGACAACTGTTACAAACTTATTTGCTTACATATGCATATGAAATAAAATATTCCTGGAAAGGTAGCTAAGAAATTGATAGAATTGTTTACCTTCAGGGAAAGGAACTGTGTAGATGAAGTCAGACATGGGAGAGACTTTTCATTGTTTACCCTTTCCTACCTTTTCAGTTTTGAACAATGTGAATCTATTAACTACTCAAACATACACAAAATGTAGATTTATAAAATATAGCATTTTATTTCATATATCCAAGAACTTATAAAGCAAAATGGCACAGAAATTACGAAAACTTATATACTATCACTTAGCAAAATATAATTTTCATAAAGTTAAAAACATAATTCTCACACTAATATACAGTAAGCACATGTTAGATATCTCATTAGTGAGAGAACCAGCAAGATGGCAGAGCTAGTTCAAAAATATATAAGACACATACCTATACACATTCAAGAAAAAAAGAATGCTAGAATAAAATTGCTAAATTAGATTCAAAACTGTCCAACAGAGAAAAAAAGAACTCATAATCTTTGGAGTTATATTCTCTATCTCTCTATCAATTACGAGTTAACACATTTTACCCGTGTTCCACAAGTTAAGATCTAACTTTACAGAGTTTCAGCTCTAATCAATGATAAATAGTAAGTCAAAGTCATGTTTCTCTACTCAGATGACCATAAAGCAAGCTGTTTAGACAACTCTCTAGTACAATATTAAAGGGAAGCATAGTCATATTTTTGCCTTATTTCCAAGTTCTGGATATTTTTTCTTCAAATACCAAAGAGTAAACTGGAAGTTTTCTTCTTCCAGCATTTGTAAACAAGAATCATTTTATTCCACACCAGCAAAAGTAAGAAAATCCAAACAGAAAGTGCCCCCAAATGAAAATGAATTACAATAAAAATTTTTAAAACCACTTAAGGAACTTCGAATATGAATGGTAATGTTGCAAACAAATGTCAGTTCTTAAGGTAATTCCAGTCTGTACGTAAATAAATGAGTGGATAACTTTCATAGTTTCTATTCAACAATGGAATCTAATGGGTTGCTATCCTTTACCAAGAGAGCCATATCAGAACTCCTATGTTACCACTTACTCTTTCACAAATAAATCTTTCTCCCTTACTCGACAATATTCAACAAGCTTCAGCAAATCTCAAACAACACTTACATTTAAATATCAGTAAGTAAACTCATTCACAAGAACACTAAATGAGAACAAATAAGGCTGAGTTTGCAGATAAGGCTTACAGAAACGGTGACGATTTAAAAGCATGCTTACAAATCCTACTTTCCTCAAAAAACTGCTTCAAAATATCAAAGAGTCAAGGATGAAGAATATTTACTATACATACACAGTACATATGCTAAGGCGTCAGGGAGCAATACCGACCTTGCACCTGTCCAAGACCAATTGCCTACTCTTCCACTTTAAGTTCTGGCTGTAGTTATCATCCCCTCTCCTTCCGGCATCCTCTACCTTTTCTTTTCTACTGGATCCTTCTCATCTGCATTTAAACTAGTTTAAAATTCTCCCGTCATAAAACAAGTAAAACCTTCTAATCTCACTTATACCCTATCTTGCTCTCCAACTATTAACTCTTCCCCTTCGTTACCAAACATCTTGAATAGCTTGTTAGACAATTCAATACAGTTTACTTCCTCCATTCTTTGTATGTTACCTCTATGCTTAATGAGGAATATAATGTTTCTCCATCTTCTTCCAGGTGCTAAATTCTCTGGGTCTCTAGTGTCAACCCTTGTTTGGATCAGTAAGGGCTTACAATAAGCCTGAAATTGATACCAATAGGAAGACAAAAGAATTAAATGGTCAAACACAGTCTACTGCATGGTCTTTACATGTGTTCCTCAAAATACAAATTTTAATTTCAGATATAATAGGAGCAAGGACTAAGGCTGTAAGGCACTATGGTAGAGTCGCTAAAAGTGAGCAGTGCAGGAGACAGAAAAGCCAAGAAGAGAGGATTTAACAGGCAAGGAAACTCAGAAAAAGAGGAATAGAACTCGCCGAAAAGAGAATGAACAAAGGAGCCAGCTAAAGCATCTATAATGCGGAAGACACCCAAGAGATTGGAGGTATCCCAAAGGAAGACCTCACCCAGATAAGGTGAAGTACTTAAATGTGTGCGAAGGTACAGGAAGCCAGAATGCTTAACTCTCAGGAACCTCCCACTCCCCCAACTTTAAAGGGTTTCGAAAGCTCCAAAATAGAGGTACCTGCCGCAACACTTCTGCCCTGGCAATCCGCGTCTGTTCCTTACGCTCTTCGATACTCTTCGCACTTTCAAATCTACCACTCGCAGCCGCCATAGTTGTTGTCAACGTAAAGCTAGGAAGCCGTCACGAAATCTCAACTTACGACCGTCGTAAATTCATAAACAAACCGGGATCTCCAGAGAGGTGGAGAGCCGATTCACCTACAGAGCATGCGCAGTTCTGAGATCAAATAAACCTCCTGTGAGAATTCCGCTTCCAGGTTTTAGAAGAGACTGGAAGACTAACTGCTGCGTCACCCTATGTTCGTGTATTGTACTCGCCTTGAGCAGGTTTACTGTCAATATACGTTTGTTATGTGCTTTGCACTACATTGACGGCTTTCTCATGTGTTTCCTCTAAAATCACCGGAATAAGTCAAAAGCCCATAGAGGTTAAGTTAGTGTCTTGCAGTGTTTAACACCAAAGTACCCCTCTCGCGAGGGGAGATTTCCAGTGCTGGGGGAATGGGATGAAAGGAGCCAGGCGGGGAAAGCAGGCAGGAAGGGCAAAATTGGTTTCAAAATTCGGTATTTTGCTTTGGTTAATTTTTTTTTAATATATGAAATAGTGATGTGAATTTTGCATTGTACGTCACTGTACTTACTTTAATTTTTAGAGGTTTTTCATATTAGTCCCATTTTATCTGTTCATATTTATCCATACAAACATTTTTTATTGCAACGTGCCGTTAATCTGTTTGTGTGGTGTTTTTGTTTTATGTTTGTCTTTCCCAAACAAAAAAATTTAAGTTCCATTTTGAAATACTGATCAAGTGCTTTGAAAATACGAAGCACTGAGATCGCATTTATAGTCATATAAAGATGAAGTCTGGAGAATATAAGCTAGATATCTTAAAGACACTAAAAATAGTTAACATAAGCCAAGTTGAGGTAAATATTCTTTTCAGGTGTCGTAAACTTGGATTTATGTTTGCAAGAAGCTTTCCCAAGAGTTTCTTTACCATTCAATGAAAATCTTAACCTTGAGTATATGATATTTATTTGTTTGATATACAAAAAGAATTTACTCATTGTATTTTTGCTATAGGAGATCGAATTTTAATTTACTAATTGACCTTGTAATATTTAATCCGTTGACCGTGACATACTAATGTCATAATTCATTCAACCGACATTAAAGTCTTTTCAGATTCTCCTGGGATTCGGAAAAACATCCCTCTCTCCCCTGCGTCAGTTATAGGCAAATAAAAATAGATGATGGTTATGCAGAAACGTGCAAAATTACATGAAGAAAACTTTAGAATCCCATTTAAACCAAAAAAGGGAGACTTGAACAAATGGAGAAGTATAATGCAATGGTAATAAAATTGCCAACAGAAATTTTGAAATTGAGGTGGGAAACTAGACAAGATGATAACGGGTGCCGGCGGGGGAGCATGCAAAAAAGCAGGTTGTCTTGGTTATATTTGCATTTGGTAACACCTACTAGAAATCTAATCTTGTAATTTAATCAAATAAGGAGTAATGTAATAAGGAACCTGAAAGTGGTTGGTGACGTTTTTATTCATATATATAAAAGCATTTTTAAAATGGAAACCGAGATATAAAGTTACTGTACCAATGGGAATCTTTTTTTTAAATTCCAGGAGATTCTGCTCAATTTCTTTCCTAAGTGACTCTTACCAATTTACACTATCATGAACAGTATATGACAGAAGCTATTCCCTCAACCCTCTACTGATATTGTATATTTTAAGTTTTTGCCAAATGTATGGATCAATTAAGATGTTGTATTACTGTTATTTCACTTCGTATTTTCCTGATTACTTCTGAGGTTAGAAACCTTTCCAAATGCTTATTTGCTCTATATATTTATTAATTACTTCTTAGAATTTATTTTTATATTCAGGTCTTTTGTGAATGGGAAGTTTTTTTAATATATAAACTATGTGAAAAAGTATCCTATATTTGTTAGGTTAGACTAGGCTGTCATTAACCAATACTCACCAAAATGGTATAATGGCTCAATTACAATAGAAATTTATTTCTTATTAACAGCCCATGATAGGTATTCCCAGTAGTGGGTAACTCCTGCTTCATGGAGTGATTCAAGAGCACAGGCTTCTTTCATTTTGTGTCTCAGATATAACTTAGGGCATCTTTGTTGGCATCCAGACAATAGAAAGAGAAAAACCATTGGAGAGGCACACTCTCCTTAAAACCCTTGAACCAGAAATGGAACACATTACTTATGCTTGTATAGCATTGCCAAGAACTAGTCACGTGGCCACACCTAGATGCACAGGGCATAAGAAAAGATGTCCCTGGTTTTGCAGCTACTTCCCAGTTAAAAATCTGTACTATATGGAAGAGGAGAAAAGATTTTGGTAAACAGCTAGTCATATCTGCACAAGATGTGATTTTTTTTTTCATATAAATCTCCAAAAGCCCCAATGCCATTTATTGATTTGTTTCATTATTTCCACACTGATTATAAATGATACTTTAAAATCATACACTACATTCTCACGTATAACCGAACGCGTTGCTGTCAAGTGGATTCCAACTCATGGTGACCACGTGTTACAGAGTAGAACTGTACTCATAGGATTTTCTTGGCTGTAATCTTCACAGAAGCACATTTCCAGGCCTTTCTTTTTGTGACGCCACTGTGTGGTTCAGACTGCCAACCCTTAGGTTAATAGTCAAGCACAAACCGTTTACTCCAGAGATCTACCTATTCCCATGTATGTATGGGGCTATTTCTGGAGTCTGTCCAATTGATCACTATTCCTGCAGCCATATGGCACCCTGTTTTAATTGCTATAGTTTATAGTGCGTTTCTGGTATCTGGTAGGAGAACTAGTCCATCATTATTATCAGAACATTTGCTCTCGCCTTTGAACTTTAAAATCCGATTATCAAGATCATAAAAAAATCATTTTGATATTGGTTTTATCTGTTGGGATTCTTTGGGTACAAGCAATTTGGATGGAATTTGACCAATTTAAGCAAAGAGGGGAATTCACTAGAAGGATATAAGCAAAACAAGTCCCAGGACTGTAAATACTGAACAATCAGACAGCTGTCACTGAAACGAATGGGGACAGGCCACACCAGCCACTCTAGCAAAGACCAGTTAGGATCCAGAGGGGACTGAAAGATCCTAGAACCCCACGCAGCCATGAGAAACTGTCAGCCATACACTCTTCTGTGTCATCTTGGAATGGAACTGGATGAGAGACTACACTGTCATCACAATAGTCAACTTTTTTTTAGTACCCACCTGAATATAGTAAATACTTATGTCTCTTGTGTGCTATAGGAATTGCAGTATAAATTGCACCACAAGTTTGCATTCATTTTACATGCCATGTTAATTTTAGATATCATTCTGAAATGCTCTCTTAATTTTACCTTCTCTGTTCCCCTGCTGGAAAAAAAAAAAGAGTCACATGTTTGTTTAATAAGCTATTTATTTTAGAACAGTTTTAGATTTACAGAATATTGGCAAAGATATTACGGGGAATTACCTTATACCCTCACCCAGTTTCCCCTATTATTAACATCTTACATTAGTATGGTACATTTGGTACAATTAATGAACCAATGTTGATACATTATTATCTTACTTATCTAGTGCTGCTATAACATAAATACCACAAGTGGATGGCTTTAACAAAGAGAAATTTATTCTGTCACAGTTTAGGAGGCTAGAAGTCTAAATTCAGGGTGCCAGCTGCAGGGGGAGGCTTTCTTTCTCTTTTGGCTGTGGGGGAAGGTCCTTGTCATCAATTTTCCCTTGGTCTAGGAACTGCTCCATGCAGGAACCTTGGGTCCAAAGTGCTCTGCTCCCGGCGCTGCTTTCTTGGTGGTATGAGGTCCCCATGTCTCTCTGCTCATTTCTCTCTTTTATATCTCGGAAGAGACTGGCTTAAATTGTAGATTAATCTTGTAGATTGAGTTCACATAACTGCCGCTAATCCTATCTCATTGATATCATAGAAATAGGATTTACGACACATAGGAAAATCACATCAGATGACAAAATGGCGGATAATCACACAGTACTGGGAATCATGACCTAGCCAAGCTGACAGATATTTCAAGGGGACACAATTCAGTCCATGACAGTTATTAACTAAAGTTGATACTTAATTCTAATTTCTTTAGTTTTTATCTAATGTCCTTTTTCTCTCCTGAGATCCCATTCAGGACAGTACATTATACTTAGTCTTCAGGTCTCCTTGGATGCCGCTTGGCTGTGACCATTTCTGAGTTTCTTTTTTTTAATAACATGGTCAGTTCTGAGGAGTACTAGTCAGGTATTTCGTAGAATGTCCCTGAACTGGGATTTTTCTGATGTTTTTCTCTTGATTAAACTGGGGTTATGGGATTTGGGGAAGAAGACCCTCAGTTAAGTGCCGTTTTCATTACATCATATCACGGGTACATATTATCCAAGAGATAATCACTGAGGATGTTGACCGTAATCAGCTGGTTAAGGAAATATTTGTCAATTTTCTCCATGGTAAAATTACTTTCTTCTCATTCCATACTGTACTTTTTGGAAGGAAGTCCTATATGTAGTCTACATGTTAGGAGTAGAACTTTATGCCCCGCCTCCTCGAGGGTGAGGTAGCTACATAAATTATTTGAAATTGGAATTCTTTTGCACAGGAGATTTATCTCTTCTCCCCATTTATTATTTAATCATTTATTTATATCAGTATGGACTCATGGATATTTATTTTATACTTCTGTTTATAATTCAGTACAGTCATGCACCGTATAATGTCCATTCGGGCAGCGTCTGACCACATACATATCTATGGTCCCATAGGGTTATAATAGAGTTCAGAAATCTCAGTCGAAGAAAAGGACGTAGAGGACATAACCGTAGCAAACAGCACAGCTTCCCGCGTGCAACACATGTATCTCACGTCTC